TACGTACTACGTACGTACTACGTACGTACGTATACGTACGTACGTACGTACGTACGTACGTACGTACGTACGTACGTACTACGTACTACGTACGTACTCTCTCTCTCTCTCTCTCTCTCTCTCTCTCTCTCTCTCTCTCTCTCTCTCTCTCTCTCTCTCTCTCTCTCTCTCTCTCTCTCTCTCTCTCTCTCTCTGGCACAACTCCCACCCCCAAGAGACCTAGGGGTGGCATGCACCACCTAGGACATAGAAAGGGGGCATGCCCAGCCCTAATGTTGGTTAAGGGAGGTGCCACACCACCTAGGACATAGAAAGGGGGCATGCCCAGCCCTAATGTTGGTTAAGGGAGGTGCCACATAATAGCATGCCCCGAAGTTTTTCAAAAAGGTCTAAAGAAACCCTACCTGCAGTAGTCCATGCTCTTAGCCCCATAGTTTTGTGATAGGGCATTCTAGATATGCTCCCAATTCAATGGATTCAATAGGACCAAAGGATTAGAGTGTGTCATCATTTTGGTAATTGGGTGTGCGGTGTGATAAGTCCTAAGGGGATAACCCTAGGCAAAGGTTCAATAATCCTTCCCAATCTTGTCTATCAGTTTTGTTTCAGTTCTTAATTCATATTTGGTTTAGAAGTCTTAATTGTTTTAGGGTTCCTATTCTGATTAGGATTCTACTTGGAGTAGGACTCCTACTTAAATTAGATTTGTAATTGTATTAAAATTCATATTGTAAGTTTGAATTCAATTGTGATAAAAGTTTTATTTGGCAGTAAGAATAAAAGATCCTAGATTGTAGTAAGTTTATTTCCTATTTTTGCATTGTATTGGAGCAATTGTAAGTAGAAACTCCAGTTATTAATAAAGAAACGAATATTTTTTAAAAAAATTTAATACCTTAAATCCTACATAACCACACCTTTCAGCCCTAACTCATGACTGGTATGGGATAACTATTTACTGGTCCGCAGAGAGTTTGGACCATTCTTGGACGTGTCATTTCATTATCATTGCTTCTTCAAATGCCATGTCGTACCACCCCCTGCCACATGCTTTTTGTGCAATATCTCCCCTCTTAGGACAACAATCCCTTGCTTAGCATCCTCTTCATAGACCACCACCCCTCCAATATGCCAAGACGTCCCCATGCCCTCTCACAATGTTTTGCTATGAAAAAAAGAGCAAATATGTCAAGTTTACTAATGATTTTACCTCTCCCAATTCTTTTTTGCTCCCTGCCTCCTTGTTGACCCATTTTCGAACCCACTTTTATACAGTTCAATTTTAGTTTGAGAGTTTATTTTTAGAGTTTTTAAGTTTTTTTATCTTGGATTTTTTAGATTTTATTTACTACTCACTTGTTAGTATTCGCAACTACTATTCACAGGTAATATGCACAGTTTACTATTCACAGGGGTCGTAAAATTGTGATTACAATTTTTGTGTTTAAATTATGACTTTTTGGGTCATTTTAATTTCATAAGAGGATCTTGCTTATGAAGAATATAGAGAGAAGGCAACAAGGGGATTGATTAAAATCACGGCCTTCGAAGATCTCAAGACCATTGAAGAGGCAGAGCAATCAAGAGATTTAGGGCATCGGAATCAAAATAGCACAATGGAAGTGTGGTTGACTTGAGGACGGCAAACTATGGCCCTAGTTTCATAGAGTAATGAAATAGTTGTTGAGAAAGCCTCTAAAGGCTAGAATATTGAGTTTGAAGTTTCCTATAGAATTTTAATGTGAGTTCAAGGATAGCCAAATTTGATAAGTTTGTATAATTCCTTACAATACATACCAGGATTCGTTTCTTGGGGATTTCCTCTTACCATGAATAATATTTAAGCCAACAAAGAAGAAGAAGGTTGAAGCAGGTGGTTTTGATGCTAAATTCATCTCAGCACACTCAAAAATCGAGGACGAATTTTCACCAACCAGGGGAGAATGATGCTAGCCAAATTATTTTAATTTTAATTTTTATTCAATTTCAAAGGATATGTATTTCAATTTTAGTTTTAGGGTTTATTTTTGGAAAACATTTATGTAAAGGGGAGGCCCTAAACAATTAAATTGAGGTGTACCTCAAAAATTCACCATAAGAGGTTGTTTCTAGGTTGAAAACCCACAATTAGATCATCTCAACCTCAAGATATAAGGACATGAGAAAAAATAGATTCTTGAAAATAGTACATCTTATAATGTATTATCTAAACTATCAATTTTCAAGATTTTCAAGCCTTTATAGATCTGTTTGATCTACACCATTTTTTAATCTTTAAATTTTACAATTACATATGAAAATAAATTTTTAGACAATTACAAAGATTTTTTATACCAAAGCAACATTTTTCAGCACTATTTGAAGACACGCCTTATTTTGATTGATTAGGGCCTTAGCAACGAACCACAACCTTTATTTTTAGGGTTTTTAAGTTTTTTAGGGATTTTGAATTCTTTTCTATTTTATTTACTCTTCTCTGGTTATTATTTATGGGTACCATTTACATGTACTATTCGCGGTTACTGTGCAGGTACTGTTCATAGGGGTAAAATTGTCATCATAAATTTTGCGTTTAAGTTGGAGTTTTTTTTATCATTTTGATTATAGTATGGACATTTAATGTGAATATTAAATTATATATACAAGAGGTGTGTAGGGCCTTGAGGGGGTCATTCCAAGTGATTTTTAAATTTGAAAGAGAAAGAAAGCTTAGGCTTTCGGAACCCTAGCTTAGGGTGAGGAGGAAACCTTAGGTTTCTCCAAGTTATTGCTTGTGTTTGGCATGATAATCTTGCAGTTTTTGTTGCTCTTCAAATTTCCCTGCATCATTTCACCTCACCAGCCTACGTACTTTTATCACTCTTTGCTTCTACAACAAAGGGTACCACCTACTTGCCCATTACATCCTATTCGTAGGAAATTCCCAAGAGGCCCCATCTCAATACAGTTTTTATTAAGGCATGCTTAACTAATAGAATTTAACAGAATTTAGCATGCTAATGCCATTACATCCTACTCTTCAGATGCATATTGTCAAGCACTTACGGTGTAAAAATGATCTAGAGCCTGATAGTCCTTACTTTTTATGGTATTAAAACAACTACATTCATAATCTAACATAATGTCATAATTGTATGTCTACATGACATGATTTATACTTCTTACAATACATGATCTGCACATGATGAGAAATGCCCCAAATGGTAATCCATCGCATATGCAGTGGCCAGCATGAATTCTGATGAATGCAATAATGCTTAAAAGTATGTGTTCTATAGAGTGGTAATACACCTCCAATAGCATACAGGTTCTCAATGTTTTTCTGCACCTCAATTCTTGCATATTCTTCCAAGAAATCCCGGGTAGGAGACTCATGAAGTAAGCCAGCCTACGAAACTCAATAACTTGATAGAATCAATACACTTCTGAGTTGTTTCCTGCACAATAATGAGAAATTTGAACAAATATACCAGGGTATGGACATACTGACCTGGAAAATCCGATGAAGCAAGGTGCCAACTAAAGCTGCAGCTGATTGGTCATTTGATTTTATTCTTTCATCCAAAACTGCTCGTCTTCGACAGCTAAAACTACCACCCACCTGAAATCACCTACCCAAATGATTATCCCCTTTCCACCATAACCTCAGGAATAGTTCATTGAGAAAAATCAGTACAAATCATGACTAGATAAAACCAAAAATCTAACATGACTTGTGTTTGTGTATGAATGCTCACATCCTTTAACACTTGATGTGAAGGCAATCAAAGAGTACAAAGTCCATGTTACATGGACTTTGTATAATATTTTAAAAGAAAGGTTTTACCCGCGTTCCAGATACTAGTAAATCTGGATGAACAATAATAAGATTGTGGTCGTGGTCAACGACACATTTCTGCTCATTGTCAAACTCGCCAATCACATTTATTGTATCCCCAGGTCCAATACAGCTGTCAAACCTAAAATACATGAAAAACAAGTCAAGAAGCTCCTTTGCCGCACTGCATTCTAGCATTAGCAACATGATAACTACATTTCACAACCACTCATATTCAGAAACCATAACATAGTACAAGAAGAAGATAATGCAAACAGGATACAACTGATATTAACCATATTTGCATTCAGATTAGTGAAAGAGTACATGGAATGAATACAAAAAGAAATTCGAACATGACTAACGAGATTTTCAACCCAGTTGTTCAAACTTCAAACTGGTATTATATGCATAATCTCATTCAAGCTCATACACGTGGCAACTTTCTAAATCAAATGTAAAAGGATGCCGTCATGCACAAAACTCTCACTAAGAAAGTTTACAAAGTTTAAAAAACTCTGCAGCCTCTGCAATTCATCCAAACAGAGCCTGAAAGCTTTACAAGGTCAAATATAGCATATAACTAGCTCCTAAGGAATGGTTTTAGCATTTGAATGTTTTATCCAGCACTTCAAGATTATGGGATCATTATATGGTCTATGTGCTTTTCATTTTCTTTTGATGATTAACCTCACTTTATTGAATAAAAAAATGGATCACAAGTATAAATCTTATACAAGGATTGGTCACTACACTCTCTCCTCTGGTTACTTAGGTCGTTCTTAGTACACAACAATGAGATATTAATTGATAATGATCCATGAGAATCAAATCCATCAAGTCTCTTAGAAATATCGTTGACATAAAAGATCTGGGCCATCCAATCTCAGTGAACAAATAGTGCTCCAACTGTCAGAACAAGGTCAACAAGAAAGGAAATAACAAAGGCACAAAGGTAAGAACAGCACAGACTCTTACCATTCATCACACAAGTACAGAACTCGCTCTTGCCCACATTGTTCATTGAGCAAACGAAGAATCTAAAAGGAAGTTAACATCAGTATACTTCTTTTAAGGAAAATATGGAATAAAACAGGGATTTCAAATATGAAAGATTGACGATTCACCTTATATGGAGTTTTTATGTGCGCTGAATCCACACATTTGTGCTTTTCAGAGACCTGCAAAATAAGAAATGCCAGATCATAATGAGAACCTTTCGAAGATTTACCGCTACAAAGAAGTAAGTAGCAACAGCAGCAAGGAAGTGCATACCTCTAAAACAAGAAAATTTAAATCCAAGTTGACAATATATGTTCTGTGTAATGGCATCGTTGCAAACGTTCTTCCTGAATAATCATCTCTCACATGCTTAACAGCACCCAAATCATTGTCACCCTTAAAGGAACAAAACACCGCATCGTTTGATATAGATTCTTCAACAACCATAACATCTTCCACTTGATCTAGAAGTTCAAGCAATGCCTGTGATGAAACAAATTCATATAACAGCTAGTCAGTCTGAATCAGTGGGGAGTAAGCCCCCAATTTAGAGAGCAGGCAACAAAGATGAGCAACTAGCATAAAAACATAACGTAAGGCTGAGAGTATGTTCACATTGTGATTTCACTACTCCAGCAAAGTATAAGGTAAATTTTTTATGATCTCAGTAATGCAGTGGATAGAGACAGACCTTCCTGTGATGCCGAGAACCATGAAGATCTGATGTTTCTTTATTGACACCACCATTGGCAAACTAACCAAGAAAGAATAGGAAAGTCACAAAGAAAGCCAAGAAAGGCCCTTCAGTTTTTCTTAATTCATTGACACACATCCTAACAAATGATACAATTCTAATCTTCACGACTGTAGCATAGAAAAAACTAAGAAACGTAACAGCACCTCATTATAGCAACATGAAACAGAGGGGGAAGTCTAGAATGGACTTCGTAGGTGTACCATAATGCTGTTCGAATTTCTTTCACTTTCACAATCAGAAACGAAGTTCATGTTCTCCTTGTCGGGACCAACAACATGAAAAGATACCGTTCTGGAAAGACTCCCAGATTTCTGAGGGGCTTCTAAAGTTGGAGACGAGAGCCACTTCTCTAGCTTCTCGACCAAATTAGGAGATCTCTGAACATATAGTCATTATTAAAACCATCTTGTGTGATTGAAAGGCAATAATTAACAGTCAGGAAACATCACCTATATAAAAACACATGTATGCTAGGCAAAACAAATATCCCCTATAGTTCTTAAAAACTTCAACCCGAAAGTTACTATGAGATTTCAAATTATTCCTAGATAGTCCATAAATTATAAACACACAAATAGCAACACATCTGAAGCAAAACATATTAGATCTTTAGGGCATGTTTATTTTGAGTTTGGTGTGCACCACAACTTGATTGTTCTCCTAGATGGGAAGGGTCAACTTCATGTTGAATAAAAACAGGGTAACTCCATTCATGACAAGAGTGGATCATTTCCACACTCCATTGATTAGGAAGCCCACCATTAGAGAGGAATCAAAGTGCTTTACGTACACATGCCTTGGATCTCTTTGGCCATGTTGCACACTCAAAAATAGAATCAATGAGCCACCATGTTGAATGCGTGAATGCTAGACAGTTTGTTATCAAGTATGGGTGATTCTTTGGGAAAATACTATTTCTATGGGGCAGATGATAAAAAGCTCTTTCTGTGATGGGAGGAAGACGTGTGCTGGGATATGAGAGGAAATATAGAAATTTAGGAGCATGGAAGTAATACTTGATAGGTGTCTAGGGGGATCCTTAAAATGCGAGATTCTCCTTTGCAAAGAAGTATGGAGGAATGCTAGATTCTCTTTTGCAAAGAACTATGGAGGAATGCTAGATTCTCCTTTGCAAAGAAGTATGGAGGAGAGGTACCCCAAGTAGGCCGTGTTTCTTTGAGTTTGGCACGCACCGCAACTTCATGTTGAACATAAACAGGGCAAGGACCTGTTTACATTCTCAAAATAAATTAAATAATCCACCACATTGAACTAGTGAAGAATAGACATTTTACCATCAGGTAGGGGTGATTCTTTAGAAAAATGCTCTTTCTATGAGATTGTTGCAAATAGGATCCAGTTTCTAGATCTTGCAAAATAGCTTTTTTAGTTCAGAAAAAGTTGTCAACATCACCCAACTAAGATGCCCATGTGATCTAGCCATTCTAAATCATGCCATATGTATCCTAGCAACCCTTTTATTTGATAATCCATTTGGGTCTCATCTGTCAGCCACATTACTTCATCAATCAATTCATACAATTTTGATGTACTTATTAATTAATTGACGAGGGGTCAATGAATCTTCAGCTGGACATGGCGCCTAATAGATTGTCAATTATTCTTGGTGTGGCTTGCTGTTAGTGGACCAACATGAATCACACATATATGCTAAATGGAATGGTTCAAAACTGCAAGATAGAGTGTTGGTTTGTTTATCTAAAATCGGAGTGAATGTACCTAGCATTTTAAACAACATACAGGGATATTGTTAGAAGCATGTCTGACTGCATTTCATTTGTTTTACAAAATGATGTGAAAATTTACTTTCTTTTTTTTAGGATTTATTGCTTTGCATAGACAGCATTGTTGAATTTCCTAGGAGTGGAGCTCATTTTATGCCCAGTGCAATACCATTAGCCTAGTAGACACGACAAACAAGTATTGTGAACAGTAAGATGAAACCATGATTGCATATGGAATCATTAGTAGTATGTCCCCAATATATCTGTACTTGTGTTGATGGATGGCTATGAGTAAACAAAATGTGCAATGTCAAAGGCATCTCATTGGAAAAAATAGTTATAAGTATATTACCTAATCATTTTTATTTGCTCTCTTCAAGAAAAACTCCACCTCAAAGGCAGTTCTTGATAAGAGTTCTACATTTGTCTTTTTTAACGGATCTATAAATGTATTATCTAATTTCTTTTGTTTGCTCTCTTCAAACAAAGCTCAGGGAACCAAGGTTCTCATGGGATGCATGTAAAATTGTCTCGTATCATTGAATGTATGGCCTAGAGAAGGCTTGTCATAACTAAAACTTTTCTAATTCAGTAGGTCAGACACTTTACACCGTTCATTCGTTACATATTTTACAGCCAAAACCATCATTCAGTTGCCTATTTCAAACAAACCCAGTCAGCTAAACTAGAATCCCTCAAAGTATCACTTTCACAGATGACGGATTTTCAGATAATGTCGGTGTGAGATTTTAGTAGTGAGGAATGTAGGGTCACTAACATACACATGGTAGCAAAGGGTATGTGCAAACATACAATAAGAGATATTTAGACAGGAGTACGTGACGATGAGGGTACCGACCATCTTATTATTGTTGTTGTGGAAGGAGCAGGGATGGTGGATGATTTTGGGAGGGGCAATGTTGAGCCTGGAGGCATCCGATAAGACCCTGGTCATCGCGCCTCGTTGCTTTGTGGAATGGAGGAGGAGACGGTGGTTAAGGGGAGAGATGTTCCAAGTGATCACCTCATCTGCTGCATCATCTTGGCTCGGCTTCACCAGCTGTTCAAGCAATCATTTATACTTGTTAGCAGCTCGATTATTGCAAACATAAGAGGCCAACAAAGATAAAAAACAGACATAAATAATAAGAAGAAATGACGATTATTTTAGCAAATGAGTCACCATTCCAGGAGAGAAGTTGCGTGGGGGAGGAGGTGGGGAGATGGGATTGGCAGGGGCGAGTTGGAGTTCAGAGAGAGGAGAAGGAGGTGTCGAGGGATCCACAGACTGAGATTGAGATTGGGATTGGGATTGGGATTGGGATTGGGAGAGGCGGTCAAAGAAGCGATGGATCCCACCCATTGCTCTCTGTTGTATATTTGTGGTGTTGTTTGCTTGATGATGATGATGCTTGTTCTTTGATGATGAAGGACCGCCTCTCTCTCTCTTCCTTGGAGCCATGGGGGAGATCATGCAATGCTACCTGTTGCTATTCATTCTTCCTTGTTGCTGAATTATCGACCCAATGCTGAGTTGCAGACCCAAGTTTGAAGCCGATGAATTGTTGCGCGGGCTGAACATTTTAGGTGCGTCTTTAAAAAATGTCAAAGGCGCGATCAAGTTTATTTTTAGGGAAAAGTTCATATAGAGCCGAGGCTCTAAACAATCAAATTCGAGCCTACCCCAAAAATTTCACTTGTTTAGATGCCCAAATATCTACCTCAAAAATTTCGCTTGTTTAGATGTCTAAATATCTTCAAATTGATCATCTCAACATCAAGATGCATAGACATGACAAAAAAAATAGATTTCAAGTTTTGGAAACCGAGTATTTAGTACAGTATTTTTGGACCATCAATTTTCAAGATTTTGAAGTATTTATATATCTCTCAATTTACACTATTTTTTAAACTTTAAACTTTATAAATAAAGATTAAAATCTATTTTAAGGCTATCAAAAAGATTTTCAGTATGGAAGATACATTTTTCGACACTAGGCTCTAATTTGATTGTTTAGAGCCTAGGCTCTATACAAACCGCGCCCCAATTTTAATCGACATTTTCTTTTAGTTTTGATATTTTAGAAAAAAAAAATTTCTCTGTCTTTTGCTTGGCTTTAAACCGCTCGGCTCAACTTGTATTGGCTTGGCTCAGTTCAGCTCGGCTACTTGAAGTGCATTTTAGTTGAGCCTAGCGAATATGAGCCAAGCCGATCCGATATAAGCCGAGTCAAGCCGAGCCAAACCAAGTCTAGGAAAAAAAAACCCAAAAAAAGGATAATTTTTAAAATATCAAAATTTAAAATAAAAATAAAATAAAAAAAATAAAAAAAAAACCTCCTACAATATATCAGAAAAACAAATGTATGAAATATGAGAAAAATGGAGGTCAATTCGCCATTCTCGATAAATAATTAAAGCATCAGAAAATTACCAAAAGTCCATGGAAGCAATATAGAAAAAGGAAAAACGAAAATTTCACCATACACCCAAGTTTCATAGTGGATTTTTTCATGACTCCTGAAATTTAAAACATTTCTAATTATATTAACTTTATCAGTTTCCTATCTTCTCACCCCATGAAGTGTTTTGAGCAACTTATTTGCCCTATACATATTGTATAAAGACACATACATCCTTCTTTCTCATACCCAAGCAAACCCTAACCCACCCTCTCTCTTTGTGGCCTTTAATTTGAGCACTGCGCCATACCCCTCTATCTCTCTCTTTCTACGCGAAACCCCCCCTCTTCTCTCTTTTTATAAATTTGAGCTTTGCACTATACCCCCTCTCTATGTCTACCCCAAACCCTCTCTCTATTCAATATCTCTCTCTTGGCATAAAATCGCAACCAAGCCTCTTAGCTGCTCCTTTCTCACACTGCGTCGAAATAATTACCATTTTTTAGTGTTTTGTGTAAACCACATTCAAGCCTTCTAATACAGATTTTTCAACATCAAATTCAGCAATTTGGGCCGTGTTTCATCAATGTATTCATTATTCAAGGATGAATACAGATTTTCAACATCAAATTCAGCAATTTGGGCCGTGTTTCATCAATGTATTCATTATTCAAGGATGAAGAGAGTCTCTCTCCAAAAGTAATTTAGCTCTCTAATTGTAGTGTGAGAAAGGTGCATGGTGCCGTACCGTATCAGGGCTTTTAAACTTTGACATGAGCTCAATTGAATCACTGAAAGTGATGAGCTGGCCACAACATATTTTACTAAGATAGAGCCTCACTTTCTCTCTCCAGATTCACTACTTTGCATAAAAATCCCAAACGTCAGCATAATGAATCCTAGAACCTTCTCTCTTTAGAATTGATTGGTTGAGGCCTTGAAACAATGACTGAGGAGCTCGAGCCCGGATACTTGAACCTAATGGGCGTGGATGATTCTCTCTCTAGAATCAATAAATTTGGGGCTCAAAACCATGTTATTCAATAAAGCAGGATTTGTTTAAGGAAGAGCTCAATCACCCCTCCATTCAGAACTGACAGTTGAATAAGGGGGAAATATATAAGTTTTATCTTGTCCCTTTCCAAATCCTTCTTTCAAAAATGTATAAAACTGTCATGTACGAAACTTTGAGGCATGACTAATTGCAAAAGTATGCCCACATGTACAAAATGACAAAAGCAAAGTAAATTTAGCTCAAATGTTAGCAAAGTAAACCGGAAGACAGGACCCTTCCATCGTTATTAACCATGATGGAAACTTAGCAAGAGGCGTGCAAGTCGAGGTGTAAATTGGTGGCTCAATCCATACGCCGATCTGGACCCGGGGTTCAGGTTACCCTGGTGGGGTCAGGGTGTAGATTAAAATATATATAAGTTTTATTATAGGGAAAAGTTTATATAAAGTTGCAAGTTTAAAATGTAAAATCATATACATATGGGCCTCAAAAAGCTATCGGAAATGTTGTTTTAATGTTGAAAAAACCTTCTAATCGATCATCTCGACATTGAGATGTACGTATGAATATGAAAAAAAAACAAAGTTTTCGAGCCCCGAAAATTGTGCATCTTGCAACGCATTATCTAAATCGTATATTTTCAAGATTTTCATGTATTTATAGATCTACTTAATTTGAACTATTTTTAGAATTTAAAATTTTCTAATTAGTTATGAAAATAGATTTTAAGATACTGCTGAGAAATTTTTTATAACAAAATTACAGGTTATGATAAAAATGTACGATACGTCTTGATTGGATTGTTTAAGGTTCCATCATTATAAAAACCGCACCCTTTCTTATATAGTTAATGATATATACAAATTATAAATATGTTTATGTTATATGCATAAATTCTATCGAGGTCGATCCCAACCCAAGCTAGGTCGGGGTACCCGACTATAAGGTTTAATGTTAGGTTCTTGGGTCAACCCATCGGGTTGATCCATGCATCTAACTGGGTTGTATAGGGTAGATAGTTGGTGAGTATGGCTGGGAATTTACTTGGACCCTAAAGATGAGGATTTGTCTCTAAGAGAGACACATGACCTCCAAGAGAGGCTCAGTATTCCCATGAGTTTTGAATTGGTAAGGCTTCCACTTCTAGAGAGAAAAAATCTCTTGGTTACTTTTGAGGTTATCTTTTTGGTGGCGGTATTTATCAACGGGTGTTGCTCAGTTGGGAGAGCGAGTTTAAAAGAGAAGATAGGTGATGGACTTTTTATCGATGTTTAGAGAGAGGCATATCTCTTGTAACCCAAACCTGTAATCTTTTTTGTGATAATGGATTTCTATTTGCTGAGGTCGTGGATGTAACCTTATGGGGCGAACCACGTAAATCGTGTGGTGGTGCGATTTTTATGTTTGCTTTATTTATTGCACTTGATTTATAGTTGTATTCATCTACTTCGCATTAGCCAACTATGTACATGATATTGGGTGGCATCCCGGTATTGAGGTTCAGGTTCCGTAAGCTAGGCGTTCCCGAGAACCCTACAGACCCAACTCAAGAACCAATTACCCGACCTGGTCCAAATACAGTTATGGGTCCAAGATTTGGACTCGGCAGGTTTGGTCCAAATCCCAATATTAGACCCGAATAATAAATTGGTCCAAGTTTAGGTAGCCTCGCCCCGAACCGATCCAATTATTAAAATATAGAATTACATTTGCATCTCAAAAATCCATCGGAAAAGGTTGTTTTAATGTTAAAAACCCTTTAATTGATCATCTCGACAATGAGATGTATGAGTATAAAAAAACAGAAAAAGTTTTTGAGTCCTAGAAATAGTGCATGTTGTAACACATTATCTAGACCGTCCCATTTTTTAGATTTTTATATATTTATAGATTTACTTGAATTTAACCATTTTTGGATTTTTAAATTTTATAATTAGATATGAAAATAGATTTCGAGATAATCTTAAGAATTATTTACACTAAAATTACATGTTATAATAAATTTTGGAGGTGCACCTTAATTGGATTGTTTAAGGTAGCAACCTTATAT